GTCTTCTGTACACTTCCATAATGGTGCCATTTATGGCGCTCTTCTTATCATGGAGTTCATAGTGGATGCTGCTGATCTGTATTTCTGGGCCATAGTCAGGAGTGACTTAGTTTCTAAACACAGAGTTGACACCAACCATGAGGCAAGTTGGATATGTAGACTTATGTTTGCTGCCGAAATATTACACTCATTTATCGACCTCAAAACCCTGAGGGGAGGGGTTGAACGCGGGACCTTTCTGGCGCTCTACCAACGATTTGTAATTTCCTAACTCCAATGAATTCATCGTTAAAACAAAGATATTTCGTAGACAGTACTGAAATCCGGCAATGTCCTAGTCCTAGTCCAAATCTGACCTCTTAGGCACTGCGCCACTCAACTTAGTTCACATGACGTCGACAACTGCCATCTTTCTCGTTTCTTGTCTTAACCTCGACAAAAATGGTTGATTTCTTGTCACTTCGTTCGGCAGGTGGACTAATTATAATTAGGTCCAATGGGAATCAGTGAACTCCACGAAGCCACCTGTTTAGAGCAGTTTTTTTCTGAGGAAAATATGACTATATAGAGAGGTAGTCATTTTAATACGCTGCATGATTTGGTTCTAGTTAGTGATTAATGGCGGAATACATCTTTACATTTAGACTCTCCCGCTGTGTAACTCTGTCCATGCATTTTCGACTTTGAGTTTCATTTTATCTTATTCATGAACGAAACCGGCCTTATTAAGAAATTTCCATACGAAATATTAAAAACTTGCTTAGGTGTCATTTCGTACATAATGAGAAAGTTTCCTTGTCAATTTAGCGTTTTTAACAAAGTTGTCCATAGCAATTATTTTATCCATATTGAAATCGAACAAGGAAAAGAAATGGTAGAGTGTGTCATTGAGTTTAACTACCTCTGTTCCATCATCTGCAACCGTGAAAAGAGCCAATTAAAATTTAATATGAAAATATTCCTGCATCTTGTGTTTTTATAGGCCTGTCAATTATTATATTGACACGTGGATGTTCATTCCCACGAAGATTCATCTGTTCCTTGCTTCAGTAAAGACGGAAGTACTAAAAGTCGTATGAGCCGTCATTCTAATGAAAAATTAAAAACATCGTAGCCATACGTTGGACATATAATAATGCGTATGTTGTGACCCAACCGTCTAGAAAACGGCTATTCGAAGCATGGATGATCGAAGTGAACTTCAAATTGAAGGAAATGAGGTTGGCCTCGTCTTGGCTGAGTCTAAACGTTCTACTTGAATGACGGAGCCATTAATTTGGAATATTTGTGAAGGTAGAAGGAAGCAACACCAACTGAAAGGATAGAGTTAGTTCTGATGTTCAGTAGGTAATATTTCGTCATGAATATGCTGCACGCAACATCGTTCGTCGTTAGTAGGAAATTTGGTCGTTTATTTACATTTAGCCTTACAATTTTACTTTTTTCTTTTATTCGCAAGAATTAATTATGCCAAAACTGCAATTGAAAAATTACGTGTAAAAAGGTCGTCTCAGTCGGGGCACTTTAGTCGGCCCCCGCCTTAAATCAATTCTTTGCGAAAATTTTCTTTACAGTGTCATATGAGAAATTTAGAGTCTAAAGTTTTATTTAGACTATCGATCCGTATCCTCATACTTACCTACGGTCATGAATCGTGGACCATCACTGAAAAACTTCGAACCCGGGTACAAGC